AAATTAATATAAAACCCAATCTTATTTTAGGGGAAACACAGGATAGTATAAATAGCAGCTATTGTTATTTTTCTGAATGCTTACCTAAAATGTCAACCAGGTAAAGGTTTCCCTGTCCATTCGTGTCCGACTCTAGGGCAGGGCTTTTCAACCAGTGGTACGGGTACCACCTGTGGTACATTGGCACCTGGCAGGTGGTACGCGACCATCCTAGAAAAGTGGTAGCGGGGGAGGGGAATGAGCTGAACTGGTGGCAGCACCGCACAAGCCTGAGCGAGAGATGGCTGGAGCTGCAGGGCTGTCAGGGCTCAGCGGAAGCGTAGGATCAGCGCCAGGCTCCAGCTGAAGCTCAGCGCTGATCCTGGCGCTTCTGCTGAGCCCAGAAGAAGCACCGATCAGCATCTCTAGGATCTTGTGATTTACATTCAGATGCTTGGCAACTGATTCATATTTATGACGGTCACAGTGTCCCAGGGTCATGTGAAGTGACCAAAACCTGCTGCAACCACCCATCAGATGGGGGGAATAAAAACCAAACACCCCCCACCCCACCCCCGCTGCCAATCCTCAACAGAAATGCTCACAAGAATGAAAACCTTGGACAGGAGGAAGAGCACGGCCGGGCGGGCAGGCAGGTGCCTTGCTCGGCTGTGACTTGTGGGGCACTTTTTTCAGTGCCATTGTAACTTCGAACAGTCACTAAGCGAACTGTTGTAAGTCGAGGACTACCTATACTTCATCACTTTTTTCGTTTTTCCTTTTTTTTTTTTTTTTGGTCATCAAGTTTTTGACACCTTGCTAAGTGACTGGTGGTACTCGGATATTGCCATATCCTAAAAGTGGTACAATGGGTGAGAAGGTTGAAAAGCCCTGGTCATCTGTTTCTAGGCCTAGGCAGCCAGTGTTGTCCAAAGACATTTTGCATTATCATGTGACCAGCACGGCTATATGCCAAAGGCACACGGTGCACTATTACCTTCCCACTAAAGTGGTACCTATTTATCTAGTCGCATTTGCATGCTTTTGAACTGCCAGGTGGGCAGGAGTTGGAGTAAGAAACTGGAGCTCACCCCATTGCCCGATACTTGGGACTCAAACCCAGGATGTCAGCTTTCCAGCTGACAAGCTCAGCGTCTTTAACCATTGAGCCATCGCCACCCCGACAAAATGTTGTCTAATGTCATATTATCATCCTCTTATAAAATCCGATTGCCCAATTGACAGCACAGTAATATCTTCTCTAGTCTACGCTTGTTTATTTATTAATGGAATCCCCCCCCCCAGAAGTGAATGGACTCAAGACAGCTTACATAAACATACAACACAATACACAATCTATATGATAATTATATAGAAGAAGCAACTAAGATGATCAAAAGCCTGGAGACTAAAACGTATGAAGAACGGCTGCGGAATTTGGGTTTGGCTAGTCTAAAGAAAAGAAGAAATAGGGGAGACATGATAGCAGTATTCCAGTATATGAGGGGCTGCCACAAAGAGGGGGTCATGTTATTCACCAGAGCACCAGAGGGCAGGACAAGAAACAATGGTTGGAAGCTGATCAAAGAGAGAAGCAACCTGGAATTAAGGAGAAACTTCCTGACAGAGAGGACAACCAACCAGTGGAACAGCTTACCCCCAGAAAATGTGGGCGCTCCATCGCTGGAAGTTTTTAAAAAGAGACTGGACAATCACCTATCTAAGATGGTATAGGTCCCTCTTGCTTGAGCAGGGGGCTGGACTAGAAGACCTCTAGGGTCCCTTCCAGCTCCTATTCTATTCTATTCTATTATTCTATTCTAAATTCTAAATTCTATTCTATTAGATCTAAATCTGAATCTTCAATTTACCATAATTCAATGCCAAGAGTAGTACATTCCAAGGCTAATGCCTGGAGGCCTTCAAACAAGCCATGTTTTCACTTGCTTCCAGCAGATCATGAGAACAGGGGTCATCTTTGCTTCAGGGACCAAAATTTTCCAGACAGATCTTCTACAAAGAATTCCCACTGTCAGGCCCTCTCCCATTTACCTTCTGGTAGATGGGGACCCCCAGCTGCTGCTCCCTAATTACTCTGGTAGGAGGAGCTGAAACTGAAGGAATGTCCAAAAATTCCAAACTTACAGTATTTCAAGGAAGTACACTTTATATACAGGTCAATTCTTGAACATTTTTGTTTCGATTTAACTGTGTCAATGACTGCAATAGAGGGTTGATCGGAGTTTTCAAGGTGAACAATAATTTTTTTTAAAAAAATGTGAAATCAATAATTAAAACTGTTAACTCTGTTATTTTCCAACTCCAAATCCTAAGCAGGCACTCATTAAGTTACTAGCACCTTCACTCTAAGTTCTTTCTATTATTAGGTTTGGGTGAGGGGTCCTTGGTGCTTTCAGAGCATGTTTGTTTTCTTGCAGATGTTTCATTACCCAAACGAGGTGACATCATCAGTGCCAATGAGGAGTGGGATTTGCTCTCATTTTATATTCTAGTGCAGGGGTGTCAAACTGCAGGCCTGCGGCCGGTTGCCTCATGCGGAGGCCAAGCCCACCCCAGCTCCAGCAATGCGAAAAAAGTCGCGATATGTTGCGACATGTCACGTGACGCAGCAAGTTTGACACCCGTGTTCTAGTGCAGGGCTTTTCAACCAGTGGTATGGGTACCACCTGTGGTACATTGGCACCTGGCAGGTGGTTTGCGACCATCCTAGAAAAGTGGTAGCGGGGGAGGGGAATGAGCTGAACCGGTGGCAGCAGCGCACAAGCCTGAGCGAGAGATGGCTGGAGCTGCAGGGCTGTCAGGGCTCAGCGGAAACGCCAGGATCAGTGCCGCTTTCCAGCTGATCGGCACTTCTTCAGGACTGTCAGGGCTCAGTGGAAGCGCCAAGATCAGCGTCAGGGTCCAGTTGGAGCTCGGCGCTGATCCTGGTGCTTCTGCTGAGCCCTGAAGAAGCACCAATCAGCTGGAAAGCAGCACTGATCCTGGCGCTTCCGCTGAGCCCAGAAGAAGAGCTGATCAGCTGGAATGTTGCAGCATCTCCAGGGTCTTGGGATTTACATTCAGATGCCTGGCAACTGATTCATATTTATGACGGTCACAGTGTCCCAGGGTCATGTGAAGTGACCAAAACCTGCTGCAACCACCCAGCAGACGGGGGGAATAAAAACCAAACACCCCCCACCCCACCCCCGCTGCCAATCCTCAACAGAAATGCTCACAACAATGAAAATCTCGGACTGGAGGAAGAGCGCCGCCGGGTGGGCCGGCGTCTTGCTCGGCTGTGGCTTGGGGGGCACTTTTTTCAGGGCCATTGTAACTTTGAACAGTCACTAAGCGAACTGTTGTAAGTCGAGGACTACCTGTACTTTATCACTTTTTTCCTTTTTTTTTTTTTTTGTNTGGGGGGGGGGGAGTCTTGGAGGTTTTTTGGTTGGGCTGTTTACTGTTAGCTTGTTTGGCAGTTCCTTGATTAGGATATTGTTTACTTCTTGATTGTTAATCCAATGTTAATCTTGATGTTAATCTATGCTCATCTAGATGTTGATTGCTGGTAGGGAGCTGTCTTGGTCTTTTTGTTCCTTTTTTGGGCTCTTTGATTATCTCTTTTGCACTGTATGTAGATGTTATTTGCGTCTGGGTGTCCATTAATGGCCAATTCGTCAGAATGCCAGGCTTCCGGGAAAATGGTTTAATTTTCCATCTTCCTTGTTGCTTCATCTCCCTTCTAGGTCTTTGATGAGAAATGGATTTATGGCCTTCAGTGCATTGTACATTTGATCTTTGCACAGGCGGCTCCAGCCAGGAACTAACTTATAGAGCTCTCGCATTTTTGCCGGATTAGTTTCCCGCGAGCAGATTCTTTGATATTGTTCTTCGCTTAGGATGGAACCATGCAATTTATCCAACATTTGTTCCACTGTGGTAGTTCGCTGAATCAGCTGCTCCCTGAACCGGTCGATGAAATGCTGGTGAGAAGAACTAAACGGCTGATTCCCTGTCAAGAAACGACAAGAAGACAAGAACTCTGTACATGCTCACAGGATAGTCTTAAACGAGCTGCGAACTCATTCCCTTTGCCTCAAAACCGGTGTTTCCCATCCTAAGCAGCTTTTAGAGGAGTGATTATCCACTCCCAGAATTCTTGGCGATGGCCGCTCTGGCTATGGCAGTGGTGGCGAACCTATGGCACGGGTGCCAGAGGCGGCACTCAGAGCCCTCTCTATTGGCACACGCGCCGTCGCCCTAGTCCTAGGCCTTCAGCTGGGTTTTATAAAACCTTTTTGCTTTAGGCCTCCACCGCCATGTGCAAAAAAAAAAAAGGTTCAATCAATCAATTTCAACTTCTGGCGGGAAAAAAAAAGATTTTGCAAAGTTGGAATTGATTGAACTTTTTAGTCCCACCCAGTCTGCCATTACCACAGCCACGCCCACCCAATGGGCCACACCCAGCCAATGGGCCACACCCACCCAGCACCCGACGATGCATAAGTGGGTTTTGCGTTGCAGTTTGGGCACTCGGTCTCTAAAAGGTTTGCCATCACTGGGCTATGGCATTTGGGATGTTGAACTCCCCACATCTGGAATGTGTTACACAGAATGAGAAACACTTCTCGCGGCCTTGGGAACGGGAAGAGCAAGTTAATGGTTTCTAACAGCATTTTCAGTCCTTCCCAAATAGTAGAATTCTAATATTCTAACATAAAACAAGCAAAGGAAGTGTTTTAGAGGAAGTGGTAGATAGAATTCAATGGGATGGGAAACAGGGTGTGCAAAAACAGCATCCTTGTTTATGTTGGCTAACTGCTTGAGTTTGACTTCGTTCCTGTGGAGACACATCTGAATTGCCCTGCCTTGGCCAACTTATGTTGAAAGGGAGAGAAACTTCTCATTTTTAAAAATCATACATGAAACTTCTTAAAGTTTCTAGGAAATCAAATTACATTTCACATTTCTGTTGTATCATGAATGAGTGATAGCAAGCACAGAAAGTATGTATGTAATTTTTCATAGGGACTATTCTGTTCAGGTAGTGCATAGACTATACAAGACTTAACGTGGGTGCCATTCCAATATGTTTTTCAAGACTGCATTTTTCAAAGATTGTTCCCTTGTTTATTTTGGTTCTATTGCAGTCCAATTGTTAGAAAGAGCAGAACTGCACTACAATTGTCAGAAAAGGAAAAGAATGCTTAAAAAATGTTTTAAAACCCCAAATATCACAGCCAGAGTGGCCATTGTCAAGAATTCTGGGAGCTCTTTCTAAGGCAATTTTGTTCACAAATTTTACCCGGCAAGCTTTCCAGAAGAATAGATTAAAATAAAAAGCCAGATAAAGTTCCATACTTCATAAATGGAAAGGAAATTAAGTAACAAGTGAAAGTAAAAAGGTGAGACTTTTATAAGAAGTTTAAAAAATGTCTTTCAATATGTTAGGGAACGGTTGAGTAATACTGAATAAGTTAGTGACGAATGTCTGTACTGTGTAAGAACTGCAGAAGATAGCAAGGGTCATAAACATCCAAGGAAGAATATTATAAAAGATATGAGAATGAGAAAGGGGGGTCATGAAACTTTAAGAAATGCAAGTGGAAGCCATGATGGTTTTAAAGGTATTTTAGGAAAAAGATGCACACCTTGCTGTTTCTTTTTTCAATTCAATTTATTGAATACCTATAATTTTAACGTTTCCTATAGAAATTGAAGGAAGACAGCAGGATTTTTTTTTAACTTAGGCACCAAAGGAAAAGTATGGCTGATAAATTAGTAGGTTTTCTTGTTTCATTTTTGAATAAGCTTTGCCAGAAAAAATTTCAAAAGGTGATTTTGGAAGATCTGGAGATTCAGTTTGCAACAAACATGGCCACATGATAAGATCCTGCAAATCATTTCTCTACTACCAACCCGAACAGATGCCCACCTTCTTGATCTGGATCAAGTGAGGGGCTTTGACAGGCCCCAAATTTGCCCCCACACAACATGGACTTTGTAATACTCGCAATATGGTTTTTGTAGTACTGTTACACTGGCCAACTAACATGGGTTTTCTTGTATTTTAAATCTGCCCTTTTCAAAATGTATAGCAAATGATTTCCCATAAACTTTAACCTTGAAGAAAAAACTCCTTTTTAGAAACCAGGAGTGGCAAGGCACCAGTCAGTACTTTGTAGATAACAGTTTCATGTTCAGCTGTTCTCAAGCCTCCATGAACAAAAGTGAGTACAGGTAATTCTCGACTTACGACCACAACTGAGCCCCAAATTTCTGTCGTTAAGTGAGATTTGTTAATTGAGTTTTGTCCCTTTCTACGACCTTTCTTGCTGCAGTTAAGTGAATCACTGCAGTGGATAAGTTAGCGACCTGGTTGTTAAGTGAATCTGGCTTCCCCACTGACTTTGCTTGTTAGAAAGTCGCAAAAGGGGATCACGTGACCCTGGGACACAGCAACGGTCGTAAGTATGAACCAGTTGCCACGCATCTGAATTTTGATCACATGATCAGGGGGATGCTGCAAAGGTCATAACTGTGAAAAACTAAGTCACACTTTTCAGTGTCATAACTTTGAATGGTCACTAAATGAACTATTGTAAGTCGAGGACTACCTGAACTGAGCTCAATGGTGGGAAATGTTGAGAATGATCTTATCTATATCCATTCTTTGCAAATGTTTCTTCTGCTGTTATCCAGAGCAAAATGCTCTTTTCAATCTTAGTTGCCCACCTATTATTGGATGTTTTCATTCTTATGATACAACTAGACAGATGACTTTTCCCTACCCAATCAAAACCTTTTAATGTACTTTTTTTATTATGCAAACTATAAAAAGGGACGGTGTGATTTCTCCCCTTTGTGTTCTCTCTCTCTCTAACAATCAATCAGAGAATCCTTTTTAGTTGAAACGTTTCAAATAAATTGTAATTTAAAAGATCTCCCTTGTCTCGGTAATAAATTGGGGTCTAACATACCGAGGTCCTCATCTCCTGAAGCCGGATTTGGCTACCACCCTCCTCACCCTCCCCTTACCAATTCCAAAAAGAGCCACGAGTTTTTCGGCTTGCGGTCTGCAGTTGGAGCGTCTCAGCACCTCGGCTGCCACCTCCGGGGCGTAATCCTCGGTGTAAAAGCCGAGTAAGAGGTCGCTCAGATCCAACGCGTCCGCCTTCTGCAGCCGTCCTCGGGGGATATTGTCGTAGCCCGGTTTGACCGGGAATTCGTGCAGGTTGGCTTTGAATTTTTGGAGCTCGCCCTCCGTCAGATCCTCCAGCGTCTCTTCCAGGCATTCCCGGATGGATTTGGGCATATTCGCGCCCCGCCCGTCGGGATCAGCCCCAAACCACCAGTCGGTTTTGGAGGGAGGAAAATTAGAAATGGGAGGGAAAAAAAAATCGTTTCGGTTTCTCTCCTTTCAGCGGGTTTTCCTGATCCGGTCTCCGGAAAAGGGAGGACCCATCGCTGCCCTGGAAATGCAGATTTACCAGCCTCTTTCCAACGTTTTGCTCCCCTTTGTTGAGGAAAAGAATTAAGCCTCAGGCCCACACCCGGAGGTGCCGCCATAACTGAGCCCCGTTTCACCCAAAAGAACTTAAGAAAAATCTATTCATAAAGGAGAATATTTGTAGCCCAGGGTTGACATGTGGGGTCCTTGGTGCTCTCTGAGCTTGCAGACGTTTCATTACTACTACTACTACTACTACTACTACTACTACTACTACTAATAATAATAATAATAATAATAATAATAATAATAATAATATAATAATGTAACTTACTGTGCTCTTTTCATATAAGCAATCACCTATACCTAAAGCACGAAGCCCTTATTTTTCATATATATATATATATATATATAAAGCATCTGATCAAGCAATTAACTACAAAATAATGATTACAAAATAACAAAACAATGATTACATGATAACACTATAAGTATCAATATAAAAGGGTTACTATATGTAAAATAAATGCTAATGTCAAACTTAAACATACTAAAATCATAAGCACAATAAAATCCCTTCAATAATAATAATAATAATAATAATAATAATAATAATAATAATAATAATAATAATAATAATAATAATAATAATAATAATAATAATAAAGTTGGAAGGGACCTTGGAGGTCATCGAGTCCAACCCCCTGCCCAGGCAGGAACCCTACACCATTTCAGACAAATGGCTGTCCAGTCTCTTCTTAAAAACTTCCAGTGTCGGAACATTCACCACTTCTGGAGGCAGGTAACATCATCAGGGCTAGTCTGTAATCATGAGCCCTGTTGGTTTTTTTGCCCACTTTCTTGGGCTATTTTCCATCCAGCTGTGCAGTTGATTGGAGGTTTGTACCTGACACTGGTAGTAGGTAGGGCGTGCTGTCTTTTAGGCATTTGTGCAGGAAGAAAAATTCTTCTTTGGTGGAAGTGTGCCTGCAGGCAATTTTTTCCCCATTTGCATGCCGTCTGAAGCGTTTGACGGCCAGATATGGGACCAATGAAGGAAAATGTTTATAGCTCAGGGTTGAAATGAGGAGTCCCTTGGTGCTCTCTGAGCTGGCTTGTTTTCTTGCAGACGTTTCATTTCCCTAGCTAGCACTGGTGATGTTACCTAGTTAGGGTAAATGAAACGTCTGCAAGAAAACAACCAAGCTCAGAGAGCACCAAGGAGCCCTCCACATTTAAGAAAATGTCCCTGTGTTGACATTTGTATCCCACCTATTTATACCAGGTAGTCCTCGACTTACAACACTTAGGGACCATTCAAAGTTACAACAGCAATGAAAAAAGTGACTTGTGACCACTTTCCACACTTACAACCATGATAGCACTCCCACCCCCCCCCCACCCACCCACCCCGGTCATGTAAGGTCGTAAAATGGGTCAGGTTCACTTAAGAAATGTTTCACTTAGCAACAGAAATATGTTGTGGGCTCTGTTGTGGTCATAAGTCGAGGAATACCCGTACAGAACCGAATAAGCAAGCGTATCAACGTTGGGGTATGTAACACGCTTTTCCAAGGCCGGTCCTTTGGCTACGGTTGCTTCAAAAGGGACCTTCAAGATGCAGCAATGGAAGCTCACAGGTGGTTCCTCCTGTCAGACAATACACCTACCTTGATGTAAAGACTAACAGGTAGTCCTCGACTTACGACCACAATTGAGCTCAAAATTTCTGTGGTTAAGCAAGACAGTCATTAAGCGAGTTTTGCCCCATTTACGACTTTTCTTGCCACAGTTGTTAAACGGATCATTACATTGTGAAGTTAGTCACACAGTCTTGAAGTAAATCTGGCTTCCCCATTGACTTTGCTTGTCAGAAGGTCGCAAAAGGCAATCGCCTGATCCTGGGCAACCGCCATAAATACGTTCCAGTTGCCAATCATCTGAATTTCGGTCATGTGACCATGGGGATGCTGCAATGGACATCACTGTGAAAAGTGATCACAAGTCACTTTTTTCAGTGCCGTTGTAACTTTGAGCAGTCACTAAATGAATGATTGTAAGTCAAGAACTACCTGTAGTAAGATGTTGGTCCAGGCCTGGAGAGATCTGGGGATGAGGCTTGAGGCAGCTTATAGTTGTCCTTTAGCTTCTCCAATTTTAAACTTGTGTTATCTTCTCCTACCAAAGTTTTGCCACATGCATGATTTGGTCAGCTTCACTGCCCTGTTGGTTGCTGACATTGTCAGACGTTAGGATTTCCCTAGCTTGCTTTTACTACAGACCATAATTTGGATTTTGACTGCAGCTGGGAACAGGATGGCTGTCATTGAGTGATCACAATGGTTGATGTCACACGATTGCATCACTTAGTGAGGGCAATCCTTGGTGCCATCGTGACCCCAGGATCGTGCAAGTCATTAAGTGGGAAATGGTGGGGGTCCCAGGCAAGAAGTTAGGGGTTCCACGTGTGGGTCAAGGGGGCCAGGAGAGTCCTTGGGAGAGCTAGAGGAGGCTGTGCAGAGGTCAGAGGGGCTAGTGGGGGGTCAGAGGAGGGTCAGCAGAAGTGCATGTTGGTTCAGAGCAGTGGTTCTCAACCTTTTTAATGCCGCGACCCCAACCAGTCGTAAGTCGAGGACTAAACCGGTCGTAAGTCGAAGACTAAACTGGTCGTAAGTCAAGGACTACCCAACCGGTCGTAAGTCGAGGACTTTCCCTGCCCAGGAGCGCCACGCATGCGTGGTTCCGCCCCCTGCGCTGGCCGAGGCGTAGCTGGCAAGCGGCAGAGACGGAGCAGGCCGACCACCAGCTGGCCCAGCCCAAGGGAGGTAAGGCACCTGCTGGAAAAGGGGAAAAAAATGGCGGACAAAAAAAATGGCGGACAAAAAAAATGGCGGACAGCCTTGCTTGGTGACCCCCATGAAATGGTCGATCGACCCCAAATGGGGTCCCGACCCACAGGTTGAGAACCACTGGTCCAGAGGGCTGTGGGAGTCTTTGGAAACGCCTACAGCAGGGGTAGGCAACCTTGGCTCTTTTATGACTCGTGGACTTCAACTTGCATTGCTGGCTCAGGAATTCTGGGAGTTGAAGTCCACGAGTCATAAAAGAGCCAAGGTTGCCTACCCCTGGCCTATAGGAAAGAAAGTGGGAGGAGCAACTTAAACTTGTGACTTTCCTTGCTGATTTCCCAGTTGACTTTGCTTGTGGGAAGCTGGCAGGGAAGGTCGCAAATGGTGATCCCAGGATCGTAACTCGCTGTGACATCATAATTGCAAGCTGGGCACCCAGACATCTGGATTGGGATCATGTGACCACAGGTATGATGGGATGGCCAGAGCTTCAAGGACCAGATGTATGTCCATTTTTAACTTTGAATGGTTGATGAACAAAGGGTGTAAGATGAGGACTGCCTGTACTTCAGCTGGTGTAAATAGGTTTACACCAACACTATTCATGATATCTTTCCCTTTTTATTCTTGCAAACTTATTTCCACCATCTCCGTTGGTTTCTTCATATTCTGCCTTTTGTTCTCTAACTTTTTCATCTCTTTCTTTTTGAGGATCTCAACAGTTCAGTTTAGCTGTTCTATCCATTTATTCTTCCTTTACATATTTGTTTTGTGATTCAATCTCTCTGTATAACCAAACCACCTGAAGAGACAACTTTCATACTGGTCACGGACTTCTATATCCACACCATATTCATTCAGCGTTCACTAATTCTCGATCACTTGTTTAATACACACGTCTTTGGCTTTCTATTCTTGCTGAATTTAACTTTTTTCATTTCTCCTGGCATGTCCAGCTGTCATTTCCATGTAACCAAGTAGGTAAAAGGATCCTCTTATTCAATCTTTTAGTATTTGCCTCCTAAGTGGAACTGGAGTTTAAAACTAATAGGAAGTTAAGACTGCAACAAAACTGTTTACAGGTAGTCCTCGAATTAAGACCGTCATTGAGCCTGGCAATTAAGGCAGAGAGTCACGATGGTAGTAAAGTAGGTCACCACATGACCAGACCCAATTTTATGACTTTTTAAAATGGTGGTCATTAAGTGAGCCCATTGTTTGCTATGGGCCGGTTTTTGCTGGAAACCCAAAGTAAATACGTTTCCTACAAACCTCCATCACCACCCCCACCCCCACCATCCTCATCATTATTCCAGTCTTTGTCTATCCACTGTGGGATGAAGGCCTCTTCCGCATGTTTCCAACTAATACGGTCCTAAGCTTTCTTTTGCTAATTGGGCCCGCAATACTTGCTGATCTCATTGATCCATCTGGTTTTAGGTCTCTTTTGTGGATGCTTTTTATCGAGTGGGATCCATTCTGTGACTGCCATAAGTTCTTCTTGCTATGGGACCAGCCCATTTCCATTGCAATTCTTTTACTCCTTTGATGATACCGTGTACTTTTGTTCCCTAATCCATGTGCAGGTTTTTCTATCTTGTCTTGTAATGCTGAGTGTGTATCGTTCCATGGGTTTTTTGTGCCACTCGTAGCTTTTGTTATCGATTGTGTGGTTAGTGTCCATGTTTCACCGGCATGTTAGAGCAGGTGGCACACACTGATCGAAAACTTTTCAAGCACAGGGGAGAGGGTGTTCTTGAAAATTATGTTTAGCTTGCCGAGTGCCTGCCAATTTGCCGTTCAGTTTCCTTTATTGCAGGGGTGTCAAACTTACCTCACGTGACGTGTCGCAACATATCACAACTTTTTCCCCATTGCCGGCAATGGAGTGGGCGCAGTTTCGGCATGACGCATCCGGCCTGCGGGCTGACAGTTTGACACCCCTGCTTTATTGTATCACCTTCCGTTGAGATCCATTGGCCAAGGTATATGTAGTGGTCTATTGAGGAAAGCTATGGCAAATCTAGACAGCATACTAAA